TCAGATTGCTCAAAGTCCTCCCGTGTATATAGAACAGGGTTCAGAGACGTCTGAGGCTCTTGGCTATGTTTTTGTGGTTCCGTATCCGGCGGAGCTGGTGATAGAGGTGGTGATAGAGGTGGTGATAGAGGTGGTGAAGAAGATTAAAGAAAGGAGGGGTAAAATACTTAAATAGTAGGAAACTAGGTATTACTACGTAATACTAGTAGATTAATAGAAGTAGAAATAAAAGTAGTTTACTTTTGTGGAATACATAGTATAATAAACCCTATTTAGGTTTACTTCTTCTACCTAAACCACTTCTTAGTCTACTTTAGATAAATATGGCTACTATAAACCGGTTTTGTACCGTAGTGGCTACGTGCCCAAATTCCGGCTTAGTGTACTTGGAATTCAAGATATTCGAATCCGGTTTCAAAGCCTCAGTGCTTCCCTTGCAATTACTCTAAGCATAAGAGAATGGCACGACTTGGATCTCGAACTTATCTTGCAACTGGAGAGTTCAGCTAGCTAGTAGATGTTCGACCTTTTCAAAGCGAGTGGTTAAATAATCACTTTCCATCTTACCCTTTATTTTCTATCAAGTGTAGACTCTTTATGGACTAAATAGTAGCGAACTATTGGTATATTCATTAAACTGTTAATATCATGAGCGTAATCTTGTGTGAATAGCTAGAGCCTTGGTATCGAACTCGAACAGATCGCCTGAGGGATATCACAAGTCTCCCTAGTGCTACCCTTGTACATAGTCTCTAGATCTAGAGTATTCAGCTCCCTGATCACATTAATATCTAACCCAGCTGCTACTCATCTACTCCTATGGATTGTTCACTGCGGTGGCCGAAGCTTACTCACCCATGTAGCATTATCCCCGGGAAAACTTATCCGAGAACCACACGCAGACGACACCCGCCCTATCGGATAAACCCATCGCGCCCTAGGAATATGACAAGTAACGAATCCAGTAACGCTTCCCACGCCAAACGCGAGGAAGCTATAACATGACGTGCGCGGGGAAGCGGGGCAGTCCCGCCATAGCTCGCGGCCGTGTATTTATCATCAATGAAGCCTCAAAGTCCACAAAACCTATTGCATGCGTGCTTTTCAGTTCAGTTTCCAATTCATGACTCTACTTGTCCACATTGCGCGAACAACGAAATATTTTAGAAACTCAAATACTGGAGCAATAGCAGCAGTAGCAAGACTTCCGTCGTTGAAAGCCCACCAACACTTTACCGACACTCCCCAAAACATCTGGAAGAGAACAATGGCATCACTACCCAAGACCATGAAGGCCGTCCTCATCGAACAAACCGGTGGAACAGACGTCCTCCAATACAAAACCGACGTCCCCGTCCCCACACCCAAGGACGGCGAAGTCCTCGTCAAGAACGACTTCATCGGCATAAACTACATTGACACGTGAGCCAGCCATACTCTCCCCACAAATCCATCCGCCCAGCGACCCCAAAGAAAGAAAGAAAGAAAGAAAAAACACAGAGGGGGCACAAAAACTAAACAAAATCAAAACAGATACTTCCGCTCAGGCGTCTACCAGCCCCCACACTTCCCCTACATTCTCGGCCGCGAGGGCGCAGGCACAGTCGCAGCCGTAGGCCCCAATGTACCCTCTGATCTTCCCGTAGGTGCACGTGTAGCATACATGGGCCAATACGCATATGCAGAGTACACGGCCGCGCCATCAAACTACACGGTGCCTATCCCAGATAGCATTGACAGCAAGACGGCCGCTGCGTCCCTGCTGCAAGCCTTGACCGCCGTAACGCTCATCCGCGACGCTTATGCCGTGCAAAAGGGCGATTGGATTCTGGTCACGGCGGCAGCAGGGGGTGTAGGATTGTGGCTGTGTCAGTTGTTGAAGGCGGTGGGTGCAAGAGTTATTGCGACGGCGAGTACGTCGGAGAAGAGGGCGCTGGCAAAGGAGAATGGGGCAGAGGTGCTGCTGGAGTATCACGAGGACGATCGCGACGTGTTTGTTAAGAAGGTGCTTGAGGTTACGGGTGGCGAGGGTGTGCATGCCGTGTTTGATTCGGTGGGTAAAGCGACGTTTGACAGCTCGCTTGCGGTGGTGAGGCGCAAGGGGACCATGGTGAGCTTTGGGAATGCGTCCGGTCCTGTCGAGGGCTTTTCTCTTGCGTGAGTTCCATGGAGTGATTCCGTTGCGATGTGAATACCATGCTGATAAAGTGTAGACGGCTCTCTGCGAAGAACGTCAAGTTGCTGCGTCCAACGCTGTTCAACTACATCGCCACTCGCGAGGAGCTTCAACAGGCTTCGAAGGAACTGTGGAACTTCATTGATAAGGATGGTTTGAAAGTCAAGATTCACGATGTCTATCCATTGAGCGATATCGTCCGCGCAACGGAAGATATCCAGAGCAGGAAGACGACGGGCAAATTGGTGTTGAAGCCGTAAAACATTTAAATCTTAGTATTCACTTCCAGCAAAATGCGTATAAGATAAAATGAGAGAAATACCATGATCATATCAACATGATTCGTCATGCCGTGATGCTTCCTCCAAAACGCCAAAAGCCATATCCCGCTAATCCAGTCTAACAATGCATCAACGAATAGGCAACTGATTCTGCCACTCTGGATCCACCTTACTCTGCTTGAACAGGCTCTTCCCCCTCAGCCACTGCCGATACGCCTTATACCGCTTCTTGGCCCCATCTTCCTCTTCCACATCCAACGGGTTCTCCTTGACACTCAAAAACTCCTCAAACTCCTCGATATCTTCTTGCGCAGTCTGAAACTTGGGCGGAGCCGTATAGATCGGGAGCTGCATATCTGGGTAGAAATGGGGGTGGAAGGAGTGTTGTGGTGGGTACGGGTACGAAGGAGCGTGGGAAAAAGGCGTGCTGACAGATTGCGAGGTTACCGGACGGCTGTGAGAGGCAAAGGAGCGGACAGATGCGGCATCGGTATCATGGCGCGGAGCGTCGGGGAGGGTGATTTGGATGCCATCTTCGTCAAAGTCTTTGGGCGCTGGAATGTCGCCCTCGGTCATGGATAGGTAGTCGTAGTACTCCATTGCGATGGGGTCGCCTGCACTTGGCGTTTCACTGCTGACAACCAGTGGCAGATTGAGTGGGTGTTCAATGTAGCGTGCATACTCATGTTCCTCTGCAACCGACACAGAAGGGTTCATACTGTTGTCATAAAATTGCGCTAGCGTCCACTGATTGATGAGAGCTTTGTCGGCAGGCCTGAAGCCAGGTTTCATGGTCGACGACAGACCGGTCGAAGTCGCTGAGTTGCCGAGCGATTGATAGGTTGACTTTGCAGGAGGTGGCATCTCGGTCTCGAAATGCGCCTCTCGCAGGATGGACTGCTTAGCCGGTGAGTCTGCATGAGGCACACTGAGATGTATCTCCCTCCTTCGACGCCCGACGATGCTGTCATGGCGGGATTCCGTTTCGCTCGAGGGGTCGATGATAGTCACTCCCTTGCGAGGTACTTTCTTCCCGTCCCTTTCTTGCCCATATTCATGTTTCTTACGAGGCACGAAAGGTGACAAATTCTCCTTCCTGGACGGATGTGTTCCATCCCTAGGATCTCTACCAGGGCGTGGTGACGCCAATCTAAACGCGAATATCTTAAGGAACGACGATATTGCTAGCGGGCGATAGTATTCGAGCCAGTAGTCATCGCGAGTACTGATTTCGGCTTCGGGTGACACGTCATTATTACGACCGGGTGCGACTGAGGGTGGAAGGGTTCTCGTCTGCAAATTCGATGACGTATACCATTCAATATAGTCTGGGCGAGCCCGGTGAATAAAGTCTTGAGGATCCTGGTGATGCAGATAATAGTCCGATGACAGCTCCCACAGAAGCGGTTGACCTTGTCGGTACACATAGTGACCAAGGAAGAGGTTGTATGCCTCTTGACGCTGCGAGTCAAGAAATGAGTTATGGTAGTAGCGCTTGAAGCTTTCAACCATATCGCGGGAGCTACTTTGCCATTGGTTAATCTTTCTGTATGTGGCCATCGTGTTGACCAAGTGTGAGCCTCCGTACTGGATTGCAATTGCATCGCCATGCCCATGGAACATGTGCGTGAACATTTCAACACAGTCCGAGTCGTACTCAACGGTCTTCCCCGCGATGACTCCAAGTGCTTGTAGCTGGCGTCCCAGTGCTCTTTTCCCAATGACGAACTGCGCCGCATTCGTTCGGTCAAGACAATCGATACAATTCGTACGTGCCACACCATTCTGGACGCGTGGTGCATCGATATCTAATTCGCCATTATGGAAGAAACTCGTTGTAGCTAGCACCTTTTCCGCGAGAGATTCCAGGGTACCTATAACATCCTGACCCCTAGTTTTCGCTGCTCTCGACATGTCAAAAGCTTCGTATATGATCTTCTTGTCCTTTGGCAGAGACTGATTGAGGTAGTCTATAGCGTGCTTGTACTCATAGAGGAGCTTAGACTCTCTTGGAGTTCGTTCTCGAGCCTTGATTAGGTTAAGAACGTATATTGGTGCTCCATAGCGCTCGAATAAGTTGTCGAAGTGCATCGCAGCGGCACTGTAGAAGGGATCCACCAGATTAAGGTCGATGTCCGGCTTGGGTGTAACCCCAGTATTATCTTGCGTCCAGTACAATGGAATGCTGCCGCGATGTTGTACGTATGAAGTATACATGGGATTAGCGTACAGTCGTGGTCCAGGCGCGTGGAATGATGTGGTGAGTCCATCAGATACAATCTGCTCAGTCTCCACATCATTCGCTACATAGCCTAGATCATTTGTTCCGCGCTTCAGAAATCTAGCACCGGCGAAGAATCTCGAACGCCGAGCAATGATTGTAATGTAGATTCTTCGGCCGAAGACATCGAGCGAAGACTGGTCAACATATCCATGGATGATGGGATGACACCAGTCATACACATTCTTTAACGCATCGCGAGCAGGATCTAGGAGGTAGTCATTCCAAACGAACATGTCTTGGAATTCCCGTGCGGCATACGGAGCACCTTCGTTCACGGCTTTCCTTTCCTGTATGATGTTCTGCTGTAGGCTCCGCGTGACGTTGTAGGAATAGCTGAAGTAGAAGGATCGTCGCAGATCCATATTATTAAATATAGCAAGGAACCTCGCCTCTTCAGGATTCCGGTCCTTCTGAAACCTTGATGTTGAGCCTGTCGTCAGAGGTATCATTTCGGTGCCGTCGACTTGATAGATATAATGACCACCAAGCATAGCTACCTGCGCTCTCTTAGAGATCAGAAGCATGTAATAAGCTTCTGTAAACCTGATAAAGCCCAGCAAACCCCAGGTACTGCATCTCAACCGCATACCTCCCGTGCTCTTATTTCCATCGTCGATCGTGTTCAAAAGCTGGTGCATTTCCCGTCTGTTGTATACTATGTCATCTTCGAAGATGTTCAAATGCCCTGGTGGCGATGTACGATCAATTTTTAGTACACGGTACTGCTTCTCCATGATGTCGGCGCCAACAAGGTAGAATCGCGTGCTGGTTTCGTACAACGAGAACTTGTGCATTCTTTTTATGCCGCTCTCGCCGACGTTCTGGTAGGCAAAACCCTTGGCTTTATGCACAGTCGAAGGTGTGGCTGAGCGTTGGAAAGTGACACCGACATTAGGGTCCTCCTCTTCGCCACCAAACTTGATAGAATCCGACTCAGTACGAGGCTTCCCACGACCTGGCTGCTTCTCGAGGTCAGCTTCAGGCTTGAAGGAGTTGATAGGAACATCAAGCTGAGGTGAAATTTCCGGGCTGGCAACAGCTGTCGAGGCTCTCTCGAGGTCCAAGTTTTCTGGAGTGTGTTCCTGTGATGTCGTTGCTCTTGATGCTATAGAACTAGCACGCTCACGCGGTTCAGCCTGTGGATTAAACCCCTCCATCGTCGATGGCTATCGTGATGGATTCCAACAGGCAGTTTCAGATTTGTAGTGTGTGTTTTGCGCGCATGATGTGCATGTGAATTAGCCGTGTCGCAATCTTTGGTGCTATTAAGCACGTGATAAGAGGTGCGTGTTCGGGAACAGACGAGAGCAGCGCACAGGGCTGATCGTAGCTCGTTGAAGCAGCGATTGCAAGATCAAGCGGCAGACATAGTGATGTGTTGTGTTATCGTCCGAGGTCAAGACTCTGAACAGAAAGTGCGGTGGTTGTTCTACAGTAGGTATTCCCTAACGTGGAAGCTTGGCGCTACGTCAACGCTCTCCAGGGCTTCATCCGCACCACACACGCACATGTAGAACAGTAGCTAGTTCTACCTGAAGAATTGTATCGAA